ATATAGTATATTATGTAAATATACACATATATACTTTTTTTTTTTTACAACTCTTGTTTTCGCCCTTCTCCTCCCTTTTGTTTTCCTTCTCCTTCACTCCCCCACCCTGTCTCAGTTCCCAGGGTGATCTCAAACTCAAACAGGTGAACCTCCTGCCTCAACCTCTTAAGTCCTGGGACTACAGGCACAAACCACCATACTCTGTTTATTCAACACTTTTGTTAGCATATATACTTTTTTTTTTTTACAACTCTTGTTTTCGCCCTTCTCCTCCCTTTTGTTTTCCTTCTCCTTCACTCCCCCACCCTGTCTCAGTTCCCAGGGTGATCTCAAACTCAAACAGGTGAACCTCCTGCCTCAACCTCTTAAGTCCTGGGACTACAGGCACAAACCACCATACTCTGTTTATTCAACACTTTTGTTAGTGTTTACATGTATCTTTTTCTATCCTCTTACATTCTAAATCATTATATTTGTGTCTCTTGTCAGCAACATATTTTTTTCTAGTCTGTTTACATTAAATATAATAGCTGATAGTTGGAGTTATACAGCATCGTGAGGCTTTCATACTGTTTTAAGCAGTTATCTTGCAATACTACTTTTTAAAAAAAAAAAATTTTTTTTTAATGTGTACAGGTGTATTGCCTGCATGTGTATGAGTGCACCTGTGTTGTACAATGCCCGTGGAGGTCAGAAGAGAGCATTGGATCTCCTGGAACTGGAGTTAGGGACAGTTGTTAGGCACCATGTAGGTCCTCTGTAACCGCTGAGCCAGCCCTCCAGCCCCAAACACTGCTTCTTGATAGTGAAGTTTGTTAAGAAAGCTTAGTCAGGTGAATTTACAAAATTTATCTTCAGAAAGTAAGTGACTAGATTTTCTACATTCAGTATAGATGAGTTAGTCTGAGTCATAGTACAATAACAGGACAGAGGTTATAAAATGAGAACTTTAAGAATATCCAGAATGTATGCTGTTGTAGGAGGAGCATGTCCTGGTAGTAAATAGTTTCTGAAATTTTTGTTGATATTTTGTTTTATTTTTGAGATGGTATGAAAGATACAGGAGCTCTGGCTCTCAGACTGGAGTAGAACTCATTATATAGCAAGTCTAGGCTGGCTTCAAAATTGTCATTTTTCTATCTCAGCCTCCTGTGTGTTGGGATTAAAGGCATGCACCACCATGCCTGACTCTTGGAATTCTTTTTTTTTTTAAATTATTTTGATCTTATGTGTATGAGTGTTTTACCGCATCCGGTAACTAGAGTTAAGGAGAATTGTTAACCACCAAGTAGGTGCTGGGAACCAAACCAGAATCCTCTGCAAGAGCAGTGTTCTTTTTTAAAAATATTTTTTGAAGTTTGGACCTAATATGAAGTATTTTTATGCCACTTTGAAATGTAATTGGTAAACTTTGAGCTGTAGATTCAGTGCTAAAACCTGACAGTTACTTACAAATGCTGATGATTTATAGGAAAAACAAAGATTTGAAATGGGGATTGTACTAGAAAATACAAGACTTATTTTTACTCTTGATTTTTTTCCTTCCTAGTATGTAGCAGTTTAGGTGTTTTTATGTTCGAAGGGTAACTTTCCCCCACTTCCATCCATTTTTTTTTTTTTTCTGGCGTTTTGAGGTAATCTTACTCTGTAACCCTCACTGACCTATAGCTCACTATGTAACTCAGACAGGCCTCAAACTGGCAATCCTCCTATCGTGACCTCCTGAGTAATCCCTCTTGGGATTACAAGTGTGAACTACCACATCCTACCAACATTCTTTTTCCTTTTTTAAAAAATATTTTATTTATCATTTTTATTTTATTTAATACGTGTATTGCCTTCATGGAGCTAAATGCACCCGTGTCATGCATTGCCCACAGAGGACAGAAGAGGCTGTTGGATCCCCTGGAACTGGAGTAACAGACAGTTGTTAGCTGCCATGTGGGTGCTGGGATTTGAACCCAGGTCTTTTGCAAGAACATTCAGTGTTCTTAACCCTAAGCCATCTCTCCAGCCCCCAAAATATTTATTATTTTTATT